CAAGAAAACAATCCGTCCCCTCTCCCTCCCATCCCTGTGAAAACCCCTTCAGTCACTTACCAAAGACAGCGACGATGTCCCTTGTCGCTGCTTTTTCCTCCGCCGCCCCTCCCCTTCATCACGCCCGCCGGCTGGGGAGACCTAATGCACATGACCGGCAATGCCGCACACGCGCATTAGACCTCTCCATAGGAAAGCATTGAAAATGCTTTTCAATGCTTTCCTATGGGGATTTTAGCGACGCTGGAGGTCCTCACATAGCGTGAGGACGTCCAGCGACGCTCTAGCACAAAACCTGTGCTAGAATCCCGGAAGTGCACAGCCACTAGAGGAGGAGTTAACCCTGCAATGTAATTATTGCAGTTTATGAAAATTGCAATAATTACACTTGCAGGGGTAGTGGGAGTTGGCACCCAGACCACTCCAATGGGCAGAAGTGGCCTGTGTGCCTGGAGTGTCCCTTTAAAACGAATGCAGGTCTTACAAATAAAGAATTTTTTTTTTGATTGCCTGAAAGTAAGATGATTTATAATGAAAAGGCTGAAAGTGCCTCATGAAGAAACCTTGAAATATTTTGAACAAATCATTAATTTAACGGACACTAAAAAACTACTTCCTAAAACATATCAAAATGGAGTAGAGATCTGGGTATACAAATCTCTCTTTAAAAATGGTGCAACTCAATTTCGATCTTAAATAAAAATCTTCACTGTTTGAATCGGAATGAACTGCACTATAAGATCTTAAACAGATGGCACTTAGTCCCCCCAAAAATTAACAAAATATTTCCAAACCAGTCCTCTGAATGAATGTTGGAGGTGTGGGGCAAAAGAGGCAGACTTGTTACATATATGGTGGGAGTGTCCGACTATTAAAGAGTTATGGCAAGATGTGGGAAGAAACAAATAACATTTTAAAATGTACGATATCCCTAAGACCAGATCTGATGCTTCTACATATTAACATAGCCAATATTAAAAAAAAATAAAAAAAAAAATCGGATATTATTACTTCATATTTTGTCAGCAGTCAAATTAATTACAGCTAGGAATTGGAAAAAAAACAACAACAACAAAAAAAAACACATCAAAACCAGACTAGTGTCTGATTAAACATCAAATACGTCATCAACTAAATATGGAAAAATATATCCCGACCCCTAACAATAAAA